CCCGCTAACCCGAGAAACTGATGCTACCTCGTGCTTAGCGGCCGGAACGTCTCTATTGAACGCACGCTTAGATGCTTAACAATATCTAACCGCACGCTGTAGTTGCTAACGCCTATTATCGTCGTCCGCGAGTTCTGCAGCTCTAACGCGCTCTCCTCCTTCTCGTCTATCTTCTCCTCCTCTACTTCCTCTACTTCGTTCTAATACCCTTTGCTAAACGTCTCGCCCACTACCTTACGTCTAATTCTAACCGCCGTGTGTCGGTAGTTAAGCGTGTGCAACTCTACTCTAAGACGCTTGCCCGTCTCCTGCTTTAGCAAGCGCGTTAATCGATTAGTCTTCTATGGTTCTTGCTCATCGCTCTATACGTAGTCACGGAAGCTGCCCTCTAGCACCTCTACCGTGAGATACTCCTAAAACGGCTGCAAGTACGCTAAGTACACCGCTAACATCTGCCCGACCCGCGGCGGCAGAAAGCGCGGCACAATCTTTGGTTTGTCCTACTGCGACTGCGATTTGTAATAGCGGACTACTGTTATAATCTGCCTGTCTGTAACAAAGATATTGCGGTCCTGCAACACGCTATTCCGATGCTGCATTGTTGTAACCTTAGACCCTCTGCCTAGCTGCCCTAAAGTTATGTGTACACAGATAAGCAATAGCTCTAAAAAGCGGTTAACCTAACGTAAATACTGCTTTACCCGCCACCGGCTCTATGTGCTAGTACTCGACTGCATTCTCTGACCTGGTCCTCTCTCTCGAGCCCACGTTAGCATCTACGTAAGCCTGTCGTTAAGCCTGTTGTCGCGGCGAGTAATAAAAGACTTGCCGCGTCGTGTAAACGTAACGTTGTTCGTAACCTAATTAAGCGAAATGGTGAAGCGCTCGCTCGCCTGAGCTACCTAGAGAAGCTCCTGCTAAAGCATACGCTCTGCCTCAGCTACTATGTCTCGGGCTATCTGACAGAAGCGGCTGATGTAGATAGAGCGACTGTTTAGATAAAAGATCCTCTTATTCTTAGACCAGTATGCATTGCCTGAGTTGCCAGCGGCTAATGCAACCGACTTGCCGTACGCGAGTAAGCTAATCATTTCGCTCATCGGACTGTACGACCCGTCGGCGAGAAACTTCTGTCTCTTTACTAGAAAGCGATCGCGGTCCTCGTCCGTTTCTTCGTCGCGCTGTGCAGCGGGAAGCAGCTTTTCCACGGCAAGCACACGTACGCAGTACACCATGCCAGCAAGCATGTACGAATAGTGTTTCGCTGTGCGCAGACAATCTATCTCGCCATTAATGCCTAGCACAGCGAGAAAATGTAGCAATCCGCTGCGGAATAAGTCGTTGCTAACAGACTAAAAGATAAACAATGCAAGCACGTTAAGCAATGCATCCACCTAAGCCTCCGTGTCGGCCCTATCTAACATGTCCCACAACGTAATCGCCAGCCCCTTCTGCTCTCCTTGCCAGCAGAAGAGCTCGCGGGCATCCTTTATAAAGTCGGGTTCCTTTTTCCAGCGCGCTTAACGGCGCGGGCGGCTGTCGCTGTTAGCTTCACTTCCAGATCTGCCAGACCTAGAAGAAGTAGTATCACGATCCTCTGCCGCATCGCTGTTAGGTGCATCGCTATCGCTGTCGTCTACACTACCCTGTCGGAACTAGGCAATCCTGCGCTCTTCGTCGGCAAGTATGCGCAGCAAGTAGCACACAAACTTTACTATGTAGCTTGCGTACGTTGCCTAACTCTCTAGGTTCTGCAGTTAAGCTAACGGCCGCACATCTGCCTCTAACATCTTTGCGCTCCGTACCTATTGTCGTAACTCTCGCGCTAGTGTCGATAAGCCCTTAACACTCCTCTCAAGTAGTAGCTCTACTAACTTCGCTGCCTGCTGTAGCTTCACCTCGCTGCGGTCAGGTAGCCGGATCTGATGCGCAAGATGCTTTCGGTTCTAGTTCGCAAGATGCTCCAGCTAGCCTGTCCGCTTAAACCAGCCCGTTTTGTTAGTTTTTGCTGCTTCTGCCTCCATAACCTGCGCCTTCTCCTCTTCTATCTTCTTCGTCTCCTCCTATCGCCCTAGTTGCGCCTGCACAACCTCAGCTACCTCGCCTAGAACAGACAGCTCGCTGTTCTCTTTATCATGAACAACAAAGTATCGCCGTAGCGCTCTTCCTCGAAAAAATGTCTGCACTTTAACCTTTTCGTACGCAGTGTTGTCCTTCTTATCCTATAGCAGCTTATGTGCACTCTTCCGATGCATCCGTAACTTATTAATATTAATAGTAATATATTCGCACTCATCCTCTGCACACTAAAAGCTGTCTAGCAGTGCACTAAGCTCTGCAATTAGTGGGCCTAGCGGTGCGGGTAGCTGAATCTCTTGCGGGTTGCGAATCTATTCGCGATTATTGTAACTCGCGATAACCTGCTGCCGTAGCTAGCTGCTAACACTGTAATGTTAACGCAGATGCGCATTAAGATTCTGTAGCGCAGTCGCGTGCTGCTTACAGACAAGCGTTCTGTACTTGTGCAGATAGCATATTGTGTCCTTAATCGCGTTAAGTAATGCGGGCGGGTTATGCGGGCGGCGCGCGGTTGTTACAGTAGTTAATATTTCTTAGGCGGCTAGCGCGTTAGGCGGTTGCGCGACCCACGAGAACTCTATATTTTCTGCAGCTTAATACAACGCGCAACAGTAGATAATTGTTAGTGTTATTACCTAAAAGATATGTTCTAATAGCAAAAAGTCAATCTGCGGTGTAAAAATAATAGAATTCAAATAGCAATGCCCGCGAGAATACCAAACGAGGATACCCTCAGATTCCGCTGTTCTGGGTTAGCGAGCCCTAACGCTTAGCCTAGTTCAGCGCGAGGATACGTATCCTCGTCGCCTCATATTAGTTAGGATACCAAACGAGGATACCCTCAGATTCCGCTGTTCTAGGTTAGCGAGCCCTAACGCTTAGCCTAGTTCAGCGCGAGAATACGTATCCTCGTCGCCTCATATTGGTTAGGACAGACAGCTCGCTGTTCTCTTCATCATGAACAACAAAGTATCGCCGTAGCGCTCTTCCTCGAAAAAATGTCTGCACTTTAACCTTTTCGTACGCAGTGTTGTCCTTCTTATTCTATAGCAGCTTATGTGCACTCTTCTAATACATCCGTAACTTATTAATATTAATAGTAATATATTCGCACTTATCCTCTGCACACTAAAAGCCGTCTAGCAGTGCACTAAGCTCTGCAATCGGTAGGCCTAGCGGTGCGGGTAGCTGAATCTCTTGCGGGTTGCGAATCTATTCGCGATCGTTGTAACTCGCGATAACCTGCTGCCGTAGCTGGCTGCTAACACTGTGATGTTAACGCAGATGCGCATTAAGATTCTGTAGCGCAGTCGCGTGCTGCTTACAGACAAGCGTCCTGTACTTGTGCAGATAGTATATTGTATTCTTAATCGCGTTGAGTAATGCGGGCGGGTTATGCGGGCGGCGCGCGGTTGTTGTAGTAGTTAATGTTCCTTAGGCGGCTGGCGCGTTAGGCGGTTGCGCGACCCACGAGAACTCTATGTTTTCCGCAGCTTAATACGACGCGCAACAGTAGATAATTGTTAGTGTTGTTATCTAAAAGATATGTTCTGATAGCAAAAAGTCAATCTGCGGTGTAAAAATAATGGAATTCAAATGGCAATGCCCGCGAGGATACTAAACGAGGATACTCTTAGATTCCGCTGTTCTGGGTTAGCGAGCTCTAACGCTTAGCCTAGTTTAGCGCGAGGATACGTATCCTCGTCGCCTTATATTGGTTAGGCAATCCTGCGCTCTTCGTCGGCAAGTATGCGTAGCAAGTAGCACACAAACTTCACTATGTAGCTTGCGTACGTTGCCTGACTCTCCGGGTTCTGCAGTCGAGCTAACAGCTGCACATCTGCCTCCGACATCTTTGCGCTCCGTACCTATCGTCGTAACTCTCGCGCTAGTGTTGATAAGCCCTTAACACTCCTCTTAAGTAGTAGCTCTACTAACTTCGCCGCCCGCTGTAGCTTTACCTCGCTGCGGTCGGGTAGCTAGATCTAATGCGCAAGATGCTTTTAGTTCCGGTTCGCAAGATGCTCTAGCTAGCCTGTCCGCTTAAACTAGCCCGTTTTGTCAGTTTTTGCTGCTTCTGCCTCTATAACCTGCGCCTTCTCCTCTTCTATCTTCTTCGTCTTCTTCTATCGCCCTAGTTGCGCCTGCACAACCTTAGCTACCTCGCCTGGGACAGACAGCTCGCTGTTCTCTTTATTATGAACAACAAAGTATCGCTGTAGCGCTCTTCCTCGAAAAAATGTCTGCACTTTAACCTTTTCGTACGCGGTGTTGTCTTTCTTATCCTATAGCAGCTTATATGCACTCTTCCGATGCATCCGTAACTTATTAATATTAATAGTAATATATTCGCACTTATTCTCTGCACACTAAAAGCCGTCTAGCGGTGTACTAAGCTCTGTAATTAGTGGGCCTAGCGGTGCGGGTAGCTGAATCTCTTGCGGGTTGCGAATCTATTCGCGATCGTTGTAACTCGCGATAACCTGCTGCCGTAGCTAGCTGCTAACACTGTAATGTTAACGCAGATGCGCATTAAGATTCTGTAGCGCAGTCGCGTGCTGCTTATAGATAAGCGTCCTGTACTTATACAGATAGTATATTATGTTCTTAATCGCGTTAAGTAATGCGGGCGGGTTATGCGGGCGGCGCGCGGTTATTGCAGTAGTTAATGTTCCTTAGGCGGCTAGCGCGTTAGGCAGTTGCGCGATCTACGAAAACTCTATGTTTTCCGCAGCTTAATACGACGCGCAATAGTAGATAATTATTAGTGTTATTACCTAAAAGATATATTCTAATAGCAAAAAGTTAATCTATAGTATAAAAATGATAGAATTTAAATAGCAATGCCCGCGAGGATACTAAACGAGGATACCCTTAGATTCTGCTGTTCTGGGTTAGCGAGCCCTAACGCTTAGCCTAGTTTAGCGCGAGGATACGTATCCTCGTCGCCTCATATTGGTTAGGAGGGCAAGCACCTTAAACTCCGGCGCTGACCGATGCAAAAGAGTCTGCAGAGACTCCTGGGAGGTGCGCATGCCGTGCGGGGAGTACAATACCGCTTCGTGTACGTCCGGTGAAAGCGTGTAAATGATTGCGCTGGCGAAGTTAAGCTCGTGGTGGCCGCGGGCTCGGAAGACGGTTAGCCAGGTTGGTAATGGGCTGCCTGGATGAAACGATGTCCAGTCGCCGTTGAAGATACCCGGCTCGAGGTCGCTAGTAGTGATGATGTTGTCGAAGTGGTTCCAGCCGCGAATGATCGCGCTCGCTTCTGTTGTCGCGAACACGGGTATGCTTGATGCGAATGTCAGCAGAGTCGGCTTGTGCAGGTGGTCGTCGTAGTGGAAGCGGACGAAGATCGCATCGATCGGTGAAGCATCTTGGGTGACGGGTGTCGTGGTAGCAAGGAACCCAGCGTCTGTAGCAGCAGCTTCGATGTCGCGCGCAATGCCTTCTACGTCGCTGCCGTTGTTGACGGCGGGTGGAGACGACAGGCTGAAGCTTGCTAGCCATATCCCCAACAGGTTGACGGGGCCGTTGAACCACGGGTCGTGTACGATGTGATAGAATGCTTTTTTGGTGGTATTCCGCTCCTCTGCTGGGCGTGGAAAAGACAGGAGCCATGAGTTATCCCCGTTCAAGGATGTGAATATCGGTCGCAGCTGCTGCTGGCCGTGGGCTGCGTTGCCAATCTGCTTCTTGAGTGCGATAGCACGGTCGTTCGCCATAGCAGTTGTGAGTTGTTCCAAAGCCGCAGTGAAGTACGAGAGTAGAGGGAGTGGATTGAGCACATACGTCATGTCTGACGTGAGATTCAAGGTCACTAAAGTGCGATTCAGCCTTGTACGAATGCTATCCAATAGACCGCGAGACGCGGTTCGCCTGACGAGGGGTAGTTACGCCCGTGTAACCATGTCGCCCACAGGCTAGATCACACGATCGAACCAAATAAGACCGCCCTTCACGTCGCTCTCAAGGCCTACACCGACCGCGACAACCTCCCCGGCTTCTATTCGAATCTCGCCTCGAATGGTACTATACAGCTTCCCCTCCCACACGCCGTGCATGTCTATTGCGAATATGTTCCCGCTGAGGTGTGCGAACGTAAGCATGTACGGGAAGCATCGATCGGTGCAGTCCGCAACAAGCCTGCCGTCCTTCATCTCGATTGCGAGGCTCTTGTATCCGACGTTTTGGTAGCTGCCGACTATCGCGTCAAGAGGAACGTCAAGCGGTTGCGCATCTTCCACCTTCGTCCACTCTGGCTTCTCCGCCTCTTCGGCATCGTCCATGGCCTGGAAGTTCTTGAAGAACGCGCTCCAATCGACACGGTCTTCGTCGCGTACGCCGAGAACATCATCCAGTAAAGTGAACTTCAGGATGTCGTTGACGTACATGGCGGTATCTGAGTTCCCGAATATGACAAGGCCCCAGTCGAACTTAGGAAGGAAACACACCATCGCTTTGAAGCCAGGCACCGAGCCGTAATGGCCGATGACCGTGTGTCCGCGATAGCTCGTGCGGGATAGGCCGAGGGTGTAGAGCTCGTCGCTCTTGTAGGGTATGGCCCATTTGTCGTCGCCGAGGAGATCGAAGCTGCGGGGCGTGGCGAGCGTTTTGTGGCTGTCTTCGGAAAGGATGGGGTCGCGTTTGATGAGCGCGCGGATATATTTAGCGTAGTCGCCTGCGCTGCTGAAGATGCAGCCTGCGCCGTGGCCTTCTGGTGCTGGCGGGTAGTGAGGGAGTGCGACGTAGGACTCGGATTTGCTGTTCCAGTAGTATGGCCTTGCGCGTCGGTCCGTGTCGCTGTTGGCTTGAATGTCGGGTACGTCGTGGAATGTATTGGTCATGCCGAGTGGTTTCCAGAGTTTGGTCCGGATGAAGTCGGTGTAGGACATACCAGTCACAGTTTCGATGAGGTGTACAGCGACACTAAACATGATGTTGCAATAGATGTGCTCGGTACGAAGTGGTTTGACGAACTCGAGATTGCGCAGATTGCGCGTCAAGGACTTAGCATTGTCGGGGTGTTTGGCGCGCGCGCTGAGGTAGGACTCGTCGTGAGTTGCAATGCCACTCCGGTGACTCAGGATATCTTCAATGGTGACTTGCTCCGTGACATATGGGTCGGGAAGAACGAAGTCGTCGGGAAGGATCTTTGACACGGGTGTTGTCCATTGTACGTCTGGGTACTTCTCATCGTCTACGAGAACAGCCACGGCCGCCGCAGTGGTACACTTGGAAGTGCTTGCGAGGTCGAACAGGGTGTCTGTAGTCGCTCGGGTGTCGGGAAGTTCCGAATAGCCATACGCCTGAGGGGTGTGAGTGATGCGCAGTGGTTCTTGTGGAGAGACCTAGCTACCTTGGAGTAAATGTCATCGCCTTGTACAACTGCGAGCGAAAGACCGGGGGCGTGAAATTCATTTATCGTCTCTAGTACGAGCGTCTCGAATGTGGGAGTCTTGTAAGCCATGGTTTAGATTAAATTCTATACTTCATGCATGCAAAAGTCGCTCAATATATACTTTGCTACGATGCACCGGTTCATGGTCAGCGTAGTAGCTCTTGACACGCAGAGCCACACTTACTCTGGGTCATAATGATTCATCTGCACTATCTCGGGTGTATTCCGCTTGTGGGATGGTTCGGTATACCATAGCGTGCCGTTGGATGCGAAAGGCGTGATGTGAGTCAAGGCGCGCCGCGGTCGAATCAGGCCGGCGACCATCCGCGTATATCGAGCCAATCAGCTGTTAGCGCCTGGAGATCCTCGCCCAATCGGTAGGTGGTGGTGCATTCTGAGCATGGAAAGAGCTGCCGTCACACTACTCCCTTGACAGGAACGGAAGTCACACTTGATCCAATTGTACCATGCATACGTCTACATCTCGCGGCTACAGGAAGTTGCCGCTCGAGAAGCGATCGCCAAAACCCTTTGACTTGCTGAGCATCTCGCGCTTCTGCTTGTGATTGAGCGAGCCGCTCACAGCCATGTCCTTCTCGTAGTCAAAGGCGCGCTTGCTAGGATCGTCCTCCTTCTCCTTGCCGGTGCCCTTGTCTTGATGTTGCTCGACGAGACTCTTGCCGCGTGCCGCATCGATCTTCTCGCGCATCTTGCGTGCCCTCCTCTCCTCTTCTTTGTTGCGTTTAGACTCCGACGTGGCAGGTGCAGAATTGGTGGGCGCGGTTATGCCCAAGGCCTCGTCTTGTAACCGCTTGAGCTTTTGCTCTGGTGTCTCGGTCCATGCGCTGCTCATGCCTCCAGTGCCTCCTGCGCCCTTGCCTGTATTGAACTTGCGCGCGCGCATTTTTGTGGGGTCCATTCTAGCAGCGAGGTCGTCCTGCGTCGGGGGCAGAGTCATCCATTCGTCGCGCTGTGCCTTCTTCGGCGCATCGGTGAATTGCGGTTCGGTGTCGAATGCTGATTTGCCCACCGCGTTGTCGAAGCCTGAAGATGCGCCCCCGGCTGGTGGCGGCGCAGGCCCAAAGTCATCGTCGCTGCTGTCGGAATCGCTGTCTGGTGGGTTTGGCGGCCGCTCGTCCAGAGGCGCTGGTGGTGGAGCAGGTCCGACTACGCGCGCCGGCTTTGAGGATGGTGGTGGCGCAGGACCGACGTCGCTGTCAACACTACTAGATCGTGATGTCGCGTCTGGTGGTAGTGAAGGCCCAGCTGTGCGCGGAGGTGAGGATGCGGAAGGTGGAGGTGCTGGGCCGATGACTCGTCTGCGCTTGTCGCCAGATTCTGGACTCGATGCGCGATCATCTTCGTCGTCGCGACTGCGCTTGGAGAGGTGCGGCGGCATGGTGGGTCCTATTGAAGGCATCGTGGGTTGTGTGAGGTGTGAATGGAAAGATGTTTCCGGCTGCGCGTCGAGTGACGTTCTTTGGAGCTTGGACCTTCACCAACGGCGCGGCACATGCGGCGATCTGCGAACTGCGCCATGAGCTCCGGAGACGCGCCATCCTTGCCAGCCCATGCCAACCCTCGTGGGCCACTTTCACCCTCTCAAGTAACTCACACGCCCGTCGCATACGCCCTCGGTTGCCGCGCTATCCGCTCGGACGCACGCCTAACTCGCCTTCGCGTAGGCAGCACCGACCCGTACCGCATACCATCACCGAAACCCCCGCGCCCAGTCGATTACACCCGCGAACTACAACATCTCGAAGACCAGATACCAGACATCGCACAACTACCCACAACTACCAGATGTGCGCCTGAAGCAATGCCCTGCGCAGAACGAGCCTGATGAGCTCAGATTCGGAAGAGAGCCACTCCAGCGCTCACAACGACCATGGAGACGAGATAGACACCAGGGAAGGCGCGGTGGGCGCTTTTGATGCACAAGAAGATGATTCTGAGGGAAGCGCGACCGAGCGAAGAAGCTTGGACGAAGACGAGAGCGAAGATGTTCAGTCGGTAGACAACGGCATCGATGGCTTGACATTTGCCAGGACACGGCGGAGAAGCCCCCAGGAAGAGACGCATGATTCAGCATCGGTGCTGTCCATACGACCGACTATAGAGGTGGCCCATAGCCCTGCCTCGACGGACATACCCGACGACACTCCTTCGGTTCAGGTATGCAGCATGGCAGATCCACATGGGAATCCTCTGACCAAGACAGGGTTCCGGTATATCCTCACCCACGAGCAGCGTGCCCGTGTCGCACAACTCGCTTCGCCCTCACCGACCGACATCACTGCAGCCATTCGAACGCCGCTTCTCGTCCCGCCTATCTCCATCCCCTGGGCCGACACCGCGCGGTCAGTCACCGGCCTTCCTATCGCCGCACTCGCGACAATCCTCCGTATCGAGCAATCTCGTCTTCCAGCAACTGTCCGATGATGGATCCGAGACACCTCAGGCGCCGTGGGAGGTCGTGCGATGGACCAAGTTGAAGAAGATCACCGGACAAGTTTTCTCTGAGATTGGGAAGCGCAACTTTGGCCGGCCCACATGCTTACATGTGACCGTCTCGTTGGCGATAGGAACGTCGAAAGGCTTCATCCTCATCTTCGACTACCAACAGGTCCTCAAGTCCATCATCGGACCGGGAACCAAGGCTGTCGAATGCGGTGCCATCACTTCGCTAGCCATCGCTGCTGATCACTCGGCCATTGCAGGGGGGCATGCGACAGGTCACATCTTCACATGGGAGTTGGCGAAGCCGGCCAAGCCATTCTTGCACATCCCGCCTCTGGAAAGGGCGTCTCTCGAGGACAACAAGTCAGATGGCCATGTCTCGGGTGTAGCCATTCTGCATCTGGGTTTCCTCGGCACCCGGCGCACAGCGCTCGTCTCCGCAGATGACGCAGGCATGGCCTTCTCCCATCTGGCGACACGTGGGCTAGGGGCCATCGCGCGGACGGTCAAGACTACTCGCATCTTGGGAAGATATCCATTGTCGGCAAAGTCACTGGAGAAACCTCGGAAACCAAGTTCTGTGCTGGCCTTCGCACCCCTGCCCTTAGGCAATGTTGAGCAGCCAACCGACAACATGGGTTTGACCGCATTGCTAACACCCTATCTGTTAGTCATTGTCTCGACTACCCCGGTTGCACAGACCCAGCACAAAGCGCCCCGACCCAAGGATGTGGAAGCGCACAGCGCGCTGAGTGGGTGTTTGGCTTGGTTTCCGGCGGTCAAGCTGAAGAGCTCTTCCCATGGGTCCGACAATGCATTTTCCAAAACCAAGCTCGTGTACTGTTGGTCTAACGTCCTGACCATATTGGAAGTCGATTCCATCCTGCCACCCCCGTCGGAAAGAGAAAAGCCCGTCGAGCTTCACTTCAGACC